GGTTGCTACAAAATTTTAATTTTAATTTTATTTTTAAAGATGTGGGTAGATTTTTTATTTTTTGTTTGGGTTAATTTTTAGAGATTAGGATTAATTTTTAGAGATAGGATTAGTCTAGGTTCCTTGTTTATCTTTGGTTAATTTGATAAGTTAGTTTTTGTTTTCTTTTTTAAATGAGCCGATTTATTTAAAATAAGAATTTTCTTAAACAAGTTGAATCCGTGCTTAAAAGGAGTTGAGTCCGTGCTTAGGAGTTGAGATTTTTTTATGTAGGAGTTATCTTATTCTTAATGGAAAGGATAAGTTGGTAGATTAGTTGATAGATTCCTTTTATAAAGGTAGTTGTTGGTGACGTGATGGGGAAGAGGTAAGCCTTATGTTTAGAAAGGTTGGTCTTTTACAAAATAAGCCTTGATGCTTACAAAATTTGGTCTTTACAAGGGATAAAATGGATGGGCTTGAATAAGGAAAAGGTTAAAACAGTAGAATTTTTGGTTTTCTTTTAGTTGGGTGATTTACATGGCGAGTGGTTGCTGTGGTGATGCAACATGGTAACTACAAATATGTGTAGTCGTTTCATTAAGTTTCCAGTTTACATTTAGGATCTTCAGTGGAGCCATTTCATTGAAATTTCTATATAAGTGAGGCATGATATATTTCCATGCTATTTTTAACACTATTCCATATAATCTTGGTTCTTTAGACATGTGCATCACACATCTAAGTGCTTACATATACCTTTATCTCTTTTTATAGTTCCTGCCCTATAAAACATTAGACTTTCTATGTGATGTCATGTAAAAGTTGTGTTACTTTTGTTTCCTAGCTGTCTGATTTGATCAGATAGTTGAGAGAGTGTAATACTGTTTGAAATTTTTTATTTTTTAGAATTCAGATCGAGGTGAAAATTTTCAAGGTGTTTAGTTTGCACATGTTTAAATATTAAAAAATCAATTGATAAAATTTTTATCAAAGTATTTATCACCTGATTTTTCAAAATTATTTTTTTATATTTTTCCTATGTCATCAAATGCAGCCGCATAACGCATTATGTGGCTGCATAATCCAACATACTGTCCTGGGCGCTTCGCCTCCACCTACAAGGACAGCAATTTGCAATGCGCCTGCATATGCGGCCGAAGTGCATCAGGGGGGACGCACTCTTGCATATGGGTGGAAATTTTTGCCATGAGCGAGGGAAATTTGATTTGAATTGGATGAACCCAAGGGAACGAGCAGACAATAGATCCATGATCAAAACGGGTATTCGATGGTGAGGACTTTGCTTGGATGTTGATCAAGCTACGCGTGCTGGAAGAGAAGCAAGGCCTAGCACTAGATCACAAAGGAAGAGAGTTGGGTCCACATCAACATCGGTTCAGAGATTGAGGAGGAGGCTGACTAAGAGGAGGAAGAATTGTATGTGGAGTAGGGTAAAGATATTGATGATGACTACTCTTCAACCTTGGGTTTCGATGGGGAGATGTATATGATGGATCATTATATGACGTATTTGATTAACACTTGAGAGTGGAGAGTTGCTTGAGTGTATTAATTATTTTTTATATTTTATGTATTATGAACTTTTGGTCTTTGAAGGGTCATGAATTTGGGATTGTGAAGCAATTATGGTCTTTGGATGTTCTATTAAATTGTTAATTGTCATTACTATTGGGATGGGATTAATTACTTTATATTACATGTAAGATAGAAACTTTGTTAGTCATTATCAGACTATCAGGTTATCATGCGATCCAAACAACTAATATATTAAAGAAAAGTACATAATTAAAATTTCTAGTATCACATAAATCACACATTGGTGTTTTTTATGCATTTTTATATTTTTATGATTTTTCTAAATTTATTGACTGCGTTGCATGTGATGTGCCCGCCTTGGGACTGCATCAACCGTGGCTTTCATCAGACTCCCAACCGCATTAATTCCACACCCTGCATTGGATAACATTTTTTACGGATGTGTAATAATGGGAAGCATACCCAAAACTTGAGCTCAATCAGCTATATAGAAAAAAATATAAAATTGAAATACTTAGACTCACTCTCAACCATCCGATCAAGATCAGTTGGTTGAGAGCGAAAGCATTTTATTTGTAGGGGAATATGAGCTTCTTTTGAGATTTGAACTGATGTTATCTCAGCTATTCATTTAGATCGGATGGCTGGAAAACCCCAGTGAAAGATCTTTTATATGACGGTGGCATCACATAGAAAGTTTTACCCTTGAAAGAAAGGGAACGGGTTAACTATTTCACCCCATCCCCATATTCGATATGGGGATGCATGCAGCAGTTGCCCCAAAAACTAGTTGTTCCTCTCCGTCACAGCATGTTGCCTCTTTCTCACCCTCACCATTGTTGTTTGAGCTAACAGTTCTTTAATCCTTTTTTATCAAATAAACAATACTGACATGGTATCAGATCAGTGTTCCTATACTTCACCAAGGACAGCCATCACAGGACGGCATGAGCAAACCTGTTAATAAATGAGCAATCATGTGAGAGATCCACCCAAGCATGAATCAAGATCACGAATCATCCATAACAAGCTGTTGTGCACCCTATTTGGGCGCAACACTAGAGAAAAATGAACCTGATTGGTGCTATGAATAAATGTGAGTGGTTCCACTCCAGTTTGATTGTCAGTGTTTCAAGAATTGTCTTAAAACTATGGGAAAAGTTTATATAGAGCCGAGGCTCTAAACAATCAAATTTGAGCCTACCTCTAAAATTTCACTAGAAGAGATTGTTTTGATGCCCAAATATCTTCAAATTGATCATCTGGACATCAAGATGCATGAACATGAGAAAAAAATGGATTTCAAGTTTTGGAAATAGTGTATTTTGTAATGCATTTTTGGACCGTCAATTTTCAAGATTTTCAAGCTTTCATAGATCTGTCGATCTACACTATTTCTGAAGCTTTAAACTTTATAAATAAAGATGAAAATGTATTTTAAGGCTATGACAAAGATTACCAGTGTTGAAACCACATTTCTCGATACTATTGAAGGTAGGCTCTAATTTGATTGTTTAGAGCCTAGGTTTTATACAAACCGCACCCTAAAACTATTCATATATTTAAAAACCAATTGGGAGAAAGTGATCTGATTAAGAGATGCACCATACTAATTATGTTTTATACTTGTGTGGTTTCTGAAGCTGGCATTGGGCTCTTTATAGTGTGCATTGAAGTTCTTAAGTGGGTTTTACATGTATGTATCATAAAAGACAGTATCAAATAGTACTTAAATTGATAGATGTACCCCTATGTGTCCTCGCAATAGGGAGAAATTGATATTTTTATGTTTCTAAATGATTTAATCTACAACAAAGACCCCTTTGGTCTGGCTGATGAAGAGAGTCCCACACCACTGCATATGATGCATGGCGAAAAGGGAGTTCGATGTCAGTGAGGTCAAAGGCGATTTGTCTGTCTTAGATCATGACTGTGTTCGTCTACCTAGGGTTCTCCATTACTTCTGGAGCTGATGCATATACTAATTTCACAGAACCGGCAGACTCGATAGGCATTGATCCACCTTATTTGAAGATTTGAAGGAGCAGGGGACAAATTTTTTTTTTGGCTGATTAGCCTGATCAGAAGTTTGTAAAAAAAAAAAAAGAAATCACATCCAAGATCCAAGATATGCTCCTCTGGCCATAGAATTGTTTGGAAGGCATTACTTCTCAATCCCATCATGTTTGTTCAGAGTAGACAAAACCTGGATGGTGCTTTTGTTATTGAAAATGTATCCATTATATAGTAGGAGAGGAGGTGGGAACGGTACCCAAATTATTTATGGCTAAGGCAGCATACAATATTGTGAATGGAAATTTTGTACTAGGTGATTGGCAGTGTGCTGCCTTATGGATAGTTGGAAAGTGGTCTATATGGAATCTATTTCGACTACCTCTTTCTCTATATTAATCAATGGTCCTCCCACATCTAAGAGGACTGAAATGGGTTGATCCTCTATCCCCTTATTTTTTTGGCAATGATGATGGGAGGCCTGTGAATGAGTGACAGCCATCTCATTAAAGCTGGATTAAGGATTCAGATCTTCTCCTGGTTGCACCCTCATAACTACCTGAAGTATATTGATACTAAAATATTTTGTGGTGCCACATCATCTCAAGTGAAAAGTTAAAAACTTCTTCACTCTATGAAAATGTGCTGGGAAGATGATGAACTTTATTAGGAGTGCAGTGATAGGAGTGGGGACTTTAAAAGAAGCATACTGGAATTAGCTCATATTTTAGCTTGCAGGGTGGAAGCTCGCCCAAGTAGATTCTTTGAGTTGCCACTTTGTGTTGGGAATTGATAAGAGCCTTGGGAAGTTTCCATTGATATATTTGAATGGAGGTAAATCCCTTGGCAAGTGTTGTTTTTTCTCCTTTGCATGGAGAGCAACCTTTCTTAAATTGACTCTATCTTCAATCCTTTGTACTGGTTGCTGCGCCCTGGATTGTGGTTTCCATAGATGGAGATGCTAACAAGGATTTAGACCATGTTTCTAGCAGTAGTGCTGGGATTATCTGGTATATCATCCAATTAATTCATCAGATATATACCTTGGTATCATCAATTCTACTGCTCGCTATTTCACATCAAACTACTTCCTTTCTTTGTGCCATAACAACTTAGTAATATTTAGACATTTTTTCCTAATCAATGTTTTAACATAGAGTTTAGCCAGTTGGCATATGCAGCTGTGCACTTTGGTTCAAGAGCCTGTGAGATAATTAGCCCTTTTGTGATGTTTTCATTGTAGATTGTTTGAAATTAGTTGGAGTACTTCCTAGGTAATGTATATTAATAAAATGCAGGACTTACCAAAACAAGTATTATTATGTTGAAACTCCTATAATAAGAATCTTTTGGACAGTACCTTTTTCTGAATTACATGTGCACATTTAGTCCTTTTCAGTTATGTCTTATGTCTCAGTATGTCACTAATCTGATAATTCATATTTCAGGGTCTGTCGTGCAAATTTTCACATGATACTATTCCGTTGACAAAATCGAAGGTATAGTGACAAACATGGACTCCATGTATTTGGTAGAGTTTTTGTGTGAAGCTTTCCATTATTATGCATTTTGACTTGCTGAAACTTATTCTAGGTTGTTCTGCAACACTTATTAAAAGCGTTTGTTGCTCTGTCAATGAATTTTTTGTTTGTGACAAACTATGCATTAACGATGATGCATGTCGTACTGAGCTGGAGAAAAAAAATTAGCAAATTTTTATGGCATTTTTCCTGGATACGTAGCCATCTTCCATCCAGGAATCATTCCTTACACCCTCTTTAAGAAGTTTTTTCTGCACTTAATGACACTCCACGCAATCTAGACATTGCCAATTCTGAAACTCTATGTTCAGAGAAGAAGCCTTGGACTCTTGTAATTCATGTTCTTGCAAAGTACTATATAATATGGATGTCTTGATAGGGAATAGAAGAAGATATTAAGGTACTGTCCCCTTTCTATGCCAAATTACGGTCCTGCTGCAGCCTAGTTGGACCACTTAAAGCCTACAAATCATTCTTAAGTTTCTTGCACGCTGCATGATACCAAATTCATGACTTTGAAAAGCAATAATGGAATTTGCTTATCTCTATTCTATGTCTCTGACAGTTAGGATTACTCATTCAAGCCCATTTCAGTTCATGATATTAAATTTTGTCAAGTTCTTTATTTAGAAATGAATTTGACGGTTATTTTCTGGATTTTAATTGTTATATATGATATTAATATTTCCTGTTGCCAATTATGTTTTCCAGTTGAATATTTAATTGATTAGTTTCTTTTTCATACGTATAGTAATTATTGCACTCATGGATGTTTGCTTCTTAAAAGAAATAATTTATTCTGTTTAATTTCATTTTACAGCCTTGCAAGTACTTGATTAGCAATTCGTGCTTAAAAGGGCAAGACTGCCCTTACGACCACGACCTTTCTAACTACCCTTGTCGAGTTTTTGTTGCAAATGGTACCTGTCTCAAGGGCGATAAATGTCCCTTCTCACACAAGGTATATTCAATTCTAGGTGGAAGATTTATCTGTAAATATGATATTGCATTCTTCCTTTTCATCATTCACTACATTCTTCCACTTGATATATATTGATTCTGTAAATTGTTTTATGGTCCACTGCTTCCAAATTGAAGAATGACTGGTTTTTTTTTGTCTCAGATGCCTCCACCTGAACAACTGTCTCAGGTTTTGTCTTGTGTACAAGAGACTCATACACCTGACAGTAAAACAATACCAGAGGAAAAATTGAATACAAGTGGTTCCTTGATCGGAACTGGCCACAAGGAGTGGGCATGGGGTAAGCCATTCACACCCCCTGCAGAAGTACCAGAAGGGATAACGTTTTTCTCATTTGGAAATGCGCCAAATAATAACATAAAGCAGCAAACAAGGCCATCACCACCTCTTGAGGATCAAGGTCACCTGGATAAATATATGCAGTGTGTCGGAATTTTTGCAAATGAACATCTCAAGACTTTGATGCCTGAAGGAAATGAATCCCAGAATTCTCTAGCTATTCATAAATCAGTTTCCAGAAAACTGGCTTCTAAAGATAAATATGAGCCTGAGCGTATGGTGGGTCAATCAAATCAGGGCTCATCTTTTCATACTGGGGTTAGTAACATGATCAAGTCCAGCAGTGAAAGTCTTTCAAGTACACCAATAAATGCAGGCAAAAACAGTAATTTATCTAAGAACGCTTCGCAAATTTTGGAGGAGTTTTTGTTTAGTGGCACTCAGCTATGAGAAACCAAGTCCCCTGGTTGAAACAAATGCTATGGGATTCCTCTGTCTAGTTGTGGATACTGATCTAAATTGCCTGGGGATCGGTCTCTATGATGTTGATTTAGAGTTTGTGAAACCCTAAAAGCAATGATTCTATGAGGTAACAACAAAAAGGGTGACTCATTGAAGTTTCCTTGAGGGGGTCCCCTAATGTACATGGTTTCATTAAGCTGGAAATAGATAGCTTCATCCACCATTGATAAGGTGACTTTTGGTGGGACAGTTTGGCAACTTCACTCTTGCTCGTGTAGGTTCTACTAATAGCTCAAAACTTGTGTGGGTTATACTAATGGCTCAAGTAAAAGCAGAGACTGAGTTAATAATCCTCAAAGGAATTCAGCTTGATTAAGAGAAGAATTTTGGAAGTTGTGGATGTCTATTGATTTGTAAGTAGAGCACCCACCTGGGACGGAATTTCAAAAAAGAAGAGTTATGCATGTTAATTTATCTGTTTCCATTGCTTTATTTTCCCACATGATTTTAGGGAAGGGAATATCTTGGCATTGGCTTCTATAGTGCATTCTATGCACTATAGATGCTTGAGGATTCGTCCCTGGTTTTCAACAAACAGGTGGCTGCTTGAGAGACCTATAATCCAAGCCTTCCCAAACCTCTATGCACTGGTAATTGATTACAATGAAACAGTTATGGATGATGTTTCTTTGTCCAACCAATGAGTTGTGAGGAATGTAGCGCTACACTAGGGCATACAGAACGAAATTGCAGCCCTTGAGATACTCCGACAAAGCGAAATTCAGCCTTGGTGTGAAAATCTGGTAATCTAGGAGCCGGAGTCTCACAGTGTGTTCTTGCTAAAGTCATTTAATCACATGCTTACATGTTCCAACTCCCCATATTAACTGGTTACTATTTTTGGACCTCTCCTAGTTCTCGCATGTTACGAGTGTTTCCTGGCTTGCAGAACAAGGTAAGGTCCTTGCCATTGGACCACCTAAGATGTAGATGGGCATGTAATACAAATGTTTATCTTTTGTTCAAGCGAGACAGAGGTAGCATTTGATCACTTTATCTGCAGTTTCCTTGGGAAAATTTTTGCTGTTGACTTTCTCTGCTGTTCCCATACTGGAGAAAACTACAGTGTAGGTGAAAACGTGACTTTCCTAAGTTTATGCGGTTATCAAATGCCACTAGAGTCGATAAGCATTTGTTCGTTCACTACTCTTTTGCCTTTGGTGCCTGGCCTTGGGTATCTTTGATAAGCAATGGAAATCCCGTTCATTCCCGATTAGAGAGATTGCGACCTATGGAAAATTTTTGTGCTCACAATCCTTTGGCTTATGTGCAATGAACCTAACAAAAGAACTTTTAGAGACTGCCTGCCGAACTTATTTTAGTTTTACCATTATTGCCTGGACAATGCCCAAAACAGAATTTTCTTCTGTGTTGCAAACCTCAGTGCAAACGTCAAAGAGATTGTCTTAACCTATGATAACAAGTCCAAGCCGACCAAGTGGCTCTCCCCTCCTTAATGGAAGTATGTGTATGAGAAATATAAGTGTTCAAAATCTCGGGTGAGTCATCTTAGACACGCCCAAGTAACTTGGATTTGCCACCTTGGTAAGTCTGAGTTGAGTGGTCAATTCAGGGATCTTAAAAAAAAAAAATTCAAAACCAAAAAAAATAAAAAATCCTCGTACCCTTTGTTTTTAAGTGTCATTTATCAATAAACTTGAGATTTCAAAATGTACTTTCGGGCCTGAACATCTATGTATTACATCTTTTAAACCCCCTAAAATCACTTTATCCACTTTACTTCTTGTTTTTTTTTTTTAGCCCAAAAAATTCTTAAAAAGACATGTCTCCTTTGTAAATCCCATTCTCTCTTTACGTCGTTCTCCTAAAACTTCCCGTTTCTCTGTCTCTCTCTCCATATTTCCCCTAATCTCTCTCTTCTCATTCCAGCAAGTACTCCTACCTTCTCTCTCTAAGAATCGCCATTATTGACCCCGACGACTCTCTCTAGAACGAACCTCACGGTTTCAGCCAACCAGTTTGTCGGCCGGATCCCACCGGAGATATCCCAGATCAATAGCCTCAAGCTTCTCAAGCTCTCTAACAACTTCTTTAATGGCCGTTTTCCTTCAAATTTCTTGAGGCTCAAGAAACTCGATTTCTTGGACCTCTAAACAATAATCTCTCTGGTTCGATTCAACCGAAGCATGGAACGTTGAAGAAGATCGACACACTGTTTTTGCAGGTTAATGGCCTTTCTGGTCTGATTATGCCAGAGCTTGGAAGCTTGAAAGTTGAAAAGCTTGAAATCAATGGATCTGAGCAATAGCATATTTGATGAATAGATCCCTGTGGAGTTTTAGGAGCTCAAGAACCTGACCGTACTGAATCTCTTTCAAAATCGGCTTCGCGGCTCAATCCCTGGTTTTATTGGGGATTTGCCTGAGCTCCATATACTTCAGCTGTGGGGAGAACAATTTCATAGGGAGTGTTCCTCAACAACTTGAAATGAATGGTACAACTTAAGAAAAAACCAACTTGGAATGAATGGTAATCTCGTTCTTTTGGATATCTCATTGAACAAGCTCATTGGTTCAGTTCCTCCTCACTTTACCATGGTGGAAAGCATACCACTCTGATAACCCTAAACGACTTCTTGTTCAGTCTAATACTAGAGTCCTTGGGTGAATGTGTTTCTCTCACTAGAATTAGAATGGGAGAGAATTACTTGAATGGTTCGATCCCAAAAGGTTTGCTCTCTCTCGCAAATCTTGTTCAGGTCAAGCTCCAAGATAACTCTCACTGAAAATTTACCAGATTCAAATAAAGCCCGCGAAAATTTAGGTCGGTTGTGTCTATCGAATGATCGGAGAGAGAGAGAGAGATGGGGAAATACTGAGAGAGAGAAGAGTTTTGGGAGAATTATGTGAAGAGAGAGGGGAAAATATGGAGGGAGATTTCCCAGCTGTGTAGGAAATAACCTCTACACCTTAAGTGGAGCATTGCTTTCGCACAGAAATACATGGAGCATTGAAAAGGTTGGTAAAGCGCTTTCCCAACCGCTATAGCATGCCCCTTCTCTAGAAAACAAAAGTAAAAAAGCGGTAGCGTGTAGAAAAGAAGTTTTGGGAAGTTTTTTGCTCTTCTCTGCTAAACAAACGTGCTCAAACAGAATAACTCAACGTTTTATTATTTGAAGAAGAGCGAGGGATGTTTCAATGAGGGGAGGAAAAGCTTTGATGTGATAGTTTTAGAGTGAGATAACCCACCCAAAATCATAAAAAGAGTCCAACCAAACACTTAGGCAATGAATTGTGAAGAAAATCAATGAGAAATTATCAAATACTATTCCTGATGCTCTTTTATGTGATTTATATCATGTAAGATAATATCTTTTGTTCAGTATTGCTATTTACTAATTTGAATTGACAATGGTGTGATATGAGGGTTACCGTCAGATCTCTTTCCTTAGCGTCAAGTGTGTAAGCTAAGTGATGTGTGTAATGCCCCTCCGTGATGGAACAAATTGCGAAGGACCCTCTTGCTTTGAGTGGAATTATTCTACTTTAATGGAGCTATCTCTCTTGACGAGCTAGTTCTTTAGAGCAACAAACCTATATGAGGGAAGTGAGACCCCCTTAAGTCTTGGCTGAATGACGGACGTGGAATGGTGTAAAATTGGTGCATGACCTATGCACATGTAGGCTAGCAGTTAAAGGCCCTTGGTGTGACACGTTGGACTTAAATGATGTTTATTGTTGGTTGAGGCTAACTTAGGCAGTGGCTTAGTTTGTTGGACTATGGAGAACTTGATTTTACAAGATGTGAGTGTAGATCATCTACAAGATGTGGGATGGCCATACATTTGGCTTGACAGACTATAATGGTCATGAATGGGTTTGAATTATGTAACTACCCAGACATGAGCTTACGTAATGGGCATAAAGAGAGGGGAAGTGCACATGTAGTGGGTGACACCTTAATAGTTGTTGTAATTTACAATGCAGATTTGAATTGGCATGTTTGAGGTGATTGAAATATGTAACCTCCTTTAATGAGCCATGCAAACATGCATTAAAGGTGCAAGGAGGGGACTGTGCAATTACCACTCTAGGGTGATGGTTAGTGAATGTGGTATAGACCCTAATGGTAATGGTGGGTGAATGTGTGGAGACTATATAAACCCCTTGTCCCAACCCTTGAGGAGATTCATGTTATATACTATGCAAGTACATAGTGAAACCCTTTGTCTGTTATTTATGTGTAATTTATTATGTGAGTGATGCATGAGAGGAATGAATCTAACCCTTAAATAGATAGACTTAGGAGCTAGGGCAGCATAGTAGGCTAGTTGAAGAGTAGCATTGCAACAATTACTGTAGAGTCGTTTAGTCTCGAAGTGAGAATTGGTGACCATGGTTGGTAGTGTTGCTGGCCATGTCAATCACCTGAAGGAGCAGTTGGAGTTAATCATGACCACGTGTCCAAGATGGTGGATTGGGAAAGAGCCTTACCACCTAAGAGATCTCTACTAGTGTAACGTGTAGGATCCTAGACCTCTACTAGTGTAAAGCGTAGGATCCTTACGCCAACTATGATGTACAGGAGGGCTTAAGGATAACCTCAAAGCCTTTATTGATTCCTTCAAGGCCAACCTCATAAGCCTACAACAAGACATGTTACCTATCAAGAAGGTCTTGAGTGGCACCATAGGCAGGATAGACTCTTGAAGTATGAGGGTGCCAAAGTGAAAGGTGTTTAAACCATAGAGACTCTAAAAGTGTTAGAGAACTACTTAATGGGACGTAGAACAATACTTTGAGAATGTGCATGCCCTCGAGGAGGATGGTGTTACCATTTGCACCATATACTTCATTGGAGATGTGAAACTCTAGTAGAGGATGAGGGTCGAGGACACTTTAATGCTCAAACTAAGCACTTGGCAGGCCTAGAACAAGACCTGGAGGACCAAGTTTTGTTGTTCAATATGGCCTAGATGGCTTGTGAGTCTCTTCAGAAACTTCAAAAACATGTTTGATGGGGGATTATGTGAAAATTTGTGCTTTGTGCATCCCTAATGCTGGACATATGAAGCATGTCGGAGGAGGGCAGGTTGTTCAACTTCGTGCACGGGCTCTTCTTGTGTACACTCTGAGCCGGTGCTCACTGTCTGCTGGTTCCTTTGGGATCACCAGCCACAAAAGGGTATGTTTCAAAATAAAATTTTTCTATTGGAATGTTCAGGGGCTTCAACAGTTCTTTGCGCAAAAATGATGTTCGGTCTTTCTGTCTTCAAGAAAATCCAAGTGTTTTGGCTATTCAAAAGACTAAAATGGGGGCCCCAAATTTTCAAACATCTTTAGAAGTCTAGGGAAGGAGGTCTTTGGATTTTATAAGCTTTGAGGCTGTTGGACTTTCTGGAGGCATCGAATGTCTTTCTTAAATTTAATTTGCCCATGTATATTGCTGGTTATTTCAGCATTATTCGATAGCCCTCTGAATCCTCTTCTCTTCCACGTATGTCTTCCTGTATGAAAGTATTAGATAATTTTTTTCCATAGTCATGAACTTGTGGATATTCATTTGACAGGGGCAAAATTCACTTTGTCAAATCACAATTCTGATGTGCATGTTTAAACCAGATTAGATAGTAGACAAAAACACTAAATTCTTTCATGTTATGCAAGGAGAAGAGGTAATTCTATCTAAAATCTTAAAATCCAGGGGGTTGATTTGAGAACTCTTTAGAAGTGGAAGCAGCATTAACTCACCACTTCAAGCAATCTTTTACCTAGGAAAAAGTCTTGAATTTGTCCCTTGATAATGTACCTTTTGTTAGACTCCCTCTAAAAAAGGCTCTTTGGTTGAAAAGATAATTTGAATTGGAGGAGATAAAGGAGGCAATCTTTGGCTTAAGTAGAGATAAAGCCTTGAGACTAGATGGGTTCCCATTAACCTCTTTCCAAATCTTTTGGGATCTCTTAAAAGCGGATCTTGTTAGTTTAATGGAGGAATTCTATTGGAGATGAAAGATTAATATATCCATGAACTCTACTTTCATTGCACTGATTCCTATAATAAGTTATTCAAGAGGTGAAAAGTATCCAATCAACTTGTTGGGCAGTTTGTATAAAATTATAAGGTTTTAGCTAACATGCTTCATCAGGTCTTACACTTGGTTGTTCAAGGGCCACAATCAGCCT